GTTGAATGGAGGAAGTTATGACGTCTGGATAGTGGATGTGAAAATTGATCGAGTAAAATATGCTTTAATGTAGGCTTAGAAGTCATCAATGAATTCGTCATATTCCACATCTATCTAAATCCCTCTTTAAAGAGACTTGCTATCGAGTATTTCCTACTCGCTTTCTTTGTAGGCGGTGTGAAGAAGCCATATATTCGATTGAAAGCTGTGATCCGCAACAATGATTCTGTTTATAAATTTATTGTCACAGGCTTCAGCACCGGGTTAGCGGAGATGAGAAAAAGTCAGCGCAGGGGCGAGAAAGTTGGAATAAAATGTCGAAATCAGAGTGAAAACTACTTTGCTGATTTCAGTCTTAAAGAAAAGAAAAGAAAGGAAGTAAAAAGTGAAGAAGAAAAGAAAAGAAGAAAAAGAAGAAGAAGAGAAGGAAATAAAAAGAAGAGAAAAAAGAAAAGAAAAGAAAAAATAAGAAAAAAAAGAAGAAAAGAAGGAAATAAAAACAAGAAAGAAGAAAAAAGAGAAAAAGAAAGAAGAAAAGAAGAAGAAAAAAGAAGAAAGAGGAAGAAATGAGAAGAAAAGAAAAAAAAAGAGAAGTAAGAAGTAAATTCATGCTTTAAGGAAAAGATGGTTATGAAAACTTTTGTGTGGCCACATTTACTTGTGCTAAATTTGAAGAAATCATTGAGACTGAAATCATACATGAGCTTTGACGTTTAAATTCTCTTCATTACCCGAAAGTGTTCCTACATTATATGGCTAATTTAAAACATCTCTTTTGCAAAAGAACTTCTTGAACCAAGAAATATTACATCTTGAGAGGCTTGCCAACTGTGACAATTTCCTTCTTTGATTTCCAACTTTTTTTTAGCAGCGAACATCTTTTCTGTCAAATTCCTTGGAGATACGAGCAAGCTTGAAGCTCAGCCTAGAACCAAAGTGCTCTTCAGCGTATCAACTGAGAGCTGAGTCATTCATTTAGTTCTTCATTTCACTTAATACAAACGTCATTTGCAGACATCTTGTTAAGAAAGGGCTTGATTTTTTTATTAATAACTGATTAGACGATTTCTGTTAAGAATAATTGCAGTAAAAAGTTAGCCACAGTGGGCAAAATATAATAACGTAGTAACATCCCGGGCCACAGATGGCGTGTTATAGAGATGGATAATAGAAAGCGCGGTTTCGGATAATATCTATATAAAACAGACATATCTCAGTTTATGGTCGAGGCAGTGGGCGCGTGAAAGAGTTAGAGATGCTCTGTGATACAGGCAACGCTGGCTTCCCCGATGTGGAGAAACCAAATTCTCCGCCTCTTCGGAGTGCTCGAATTAGCCCCATACTTCTTTGAGAGGATGAAAACATTGACTTGGTGTATCAATATACTTCCACAATTCAATTACTTACTTGCTTACTTGGCCACTCAGATGGCTCTTCACTAGTTTTGTGGATTCCAGCACAATTAGTGTTTGTCCAGAAATTTGCTGTTTCAGCCGTTGTGGTTACTTGCAGCCTTGAGGTTGGCCTTGCAGAAGCTTTCCTCAGGTCATCACCATTCTAGGCAGTCGGCACCCTTGTGGATTAGAGGTACTGGTTTGATACCAAGACGGTGTTGATTCCTGATATTGCTTTACTCTCATCTCGACTTTTGGATGGGAACGCCGGGGTCCTTACCAACTTACGAGGCCGTGCTGGGAGGATGAACATCCCGCTGTACATCGCAGCCCTACACCCAGGAACATCTCCCAGCCACGATGAGGCTGTAAACCGTTAGGAGTTCTGTGGTCAGTTAAGCCAGTTATGTGGGCCAAATATGTTTTCAACCATCACTGTGGTGCTAATAAAGTCCAACATATGACCTACCTCTAAAGGATTGATCAACACAGAGCATTTAATCCTTCTCTACCTTCCAGCGAAGGTGTTAATCTGAATAAAAACCACGAAACTCACGTAAACAATACTCAAACTTTCAGGTGATGCTTAAACAAAATTCTAGTGTTTTAGCCAAAAAATTGTGTTCTTTCGTTCTTCTGGGTAGGATTTCTACCTTAAACAGAGCAGAGATAAATCAACTAAGATTTTAGTTCGGGAGAACCCTCTGTGTCATCTTATCGGTTTAAGGAAAGATATTTACTTAGTTGAGGAAATGAATATTTCCAAATGTGTGATTGGTGTTAGCGGTCAACGATTCATTAGTGTTAATACAGTTTCATTTTCCTATTTCACACTTACATGTTTTGCAAACCAATGTTAGGTTTAAGTTTTTGCTCAACCACCACCCACTACCAGCACTAGTTGGTTCGGCTGCCGATGGTTCAATCCCGTTGTTTCGGCTCCTCAACCTTTCCATCTATTTCTGTTCAACAAATTGGTGCTAAAGTGTTTGCGTGAATAAAAACATTAGCCCGATACATCGATAGGACAACGTAAATCATTCTTTAACTTATCTTTTTCTGCCTACTCCTTTTAATGGCAGGGCATATTGCGAAATATAACATCAATGATGCTGAGATATTTGCAAAACTCCGGACTGCAGGTGTCTGTGGTGGAGAACGAACGCGCTATTGTCCTTTCCGGGAGTAACGCGTTCATCACCTGAGACAGGCGAAACGAAGGACCCGCATGGTTTTGTGGTGAACGCGTTACTCCCCGGAAAGGACAAGAGCGCGTTCGTTCCCCACCACAGACACCTGCAGTCCGGAGTTTTGCAAATATCTCAGCATCATTGATGTTATATTTCGCAATATACCCTGCCATTAAAAGGAGTAGGCAAAAAAAGATAAGTTAAAGAATGATTTACGTTGTCCTATCGATGTATCGGGCTAATGTTTTTATTCACGCAAACACTTTGGCACCAATTTGTTGACCACAAATAGATGGAAAGGCAGGGGGTTCCTTGTGTAGGTCACCTCACAAGACAATACAACATTAGCTGACGTTTCGGCAGTGTCGCCTTATTCAGAGCCGCTTTTTTCGTGACTTCCAATAAGGAAGTTTAGAACAGCTGATTATAGTTGGCAACTATAATCAGCTGTTTTAAACTTGTTGTTTGGCAACACTCCTGTGTGTTTTTTACCTCATGTGTGTGTAAAAAAAACCTCCATTACTTAACTACGCTTTCCTCGTGGTTTTGTACGGTATTTCAAGTGTATTTTTAGTTCCCAGGATCGACTTTCTCTTAACCTCGGCATTGGAATATGAATGTGCCGTTTTCTTGTTCAGCAATCGCGAGGTTTTTAAACAGCCTACATTTACTTCCATAAAAAACAATACAATACAACGCTAGCTGACGTTTCGGCAGTATCGACTTCTTCAGAGCCTGGAAGGGTATACTGATATACAATCTACAAGGCCAAAGGCTTCAATAACACTTACAAAAAGACGAAAGACTCTTTGGTAATTACATGATCAACAACTTCTCGAAAAAAAATTTGTATTTTTAGTTTCCGATTTCTGATACCGACTTCTGCAGGATTGATTCGGGAAAAACAAGTTACTATTAGCGGATAATCACAGCTATCAATCATCAGCAACCTGCATAAAAGGGCATCACCGGGTGAATATGCCTCATTCGAGAGATGGTCCGCTGAGGAAAACAGAACTGGATACGAAGGCGGAGACGCCACATAGAGACGAGGAAGAACGGTGGACCGCCAACTTGGATCATCAGCTCTGGTGAAGACGAAGACATCGAAACGTTAGCCGAATAAAACTGTTTATCAACCTCGTGTAAGCTCATCAAAGGAAGAATAGATATGTATTTTTAGCCTTTTTGATGCACTTTCTATATCCACCGATTTAATTCCAGTTCATGAAAACCGCTTTTTTCAAGTACAGCACATTGGGGACGCCTATTCATGGACCGGCCCAGTACAAAACTCCTATTTAACAAACCATCGACCCGCTGAAGAAAGCATGCCAAAAAATTCGAAATGCCCAGAAGCGTACCTATCGAAATCGATGCGCATGGTTGTGAAGCAGCCAATAAAATTCAAAACAAAGCTTCGAAGTTCAAATTACGTTTCAATGGTCTATATAAATAGATATCTATGCTTATATACACTCAGTACCTTGCACTGATGTCTTTCCTACGACTTTGTCAAGTTCTATTAATAGGGAAATATAGACCGCTAGGAAAAAAATCGCAAAACGTACAAAAGAACAATTTTTATGCTACGAGTGCTAGTTCCGCCAATTTTCAAGATTTTTTTTATTTTGAGGGAACTATTGGTTAAGGGGCTGTTTTCCATCACCGATTTTTTCCTATCATTCAGAAATGCAACATAAAATCTAGGTCTTAGCCTTTTTATCTACTGCCTATTCTTTTTAATAGCAAGGCATGCTGCGAAATATATCTTCTATAATGCTGAGACATTTGCAAAACTCCGAACCGCAGGTGTCTACGATGGGGAGCGAACGAGCTATTGTCCTTTCCGAAGTGTAACGCGTTCGCCACCCCACCATGCGGGTCTTTCGTTTCGCCTGTCTCTAAAAAGGCTAAGATTGCGATTATTATTATAGCTCAGCTTAACTGGGTTCAATGCCGATTTGGGCTCCCAGATCACCCTCGTTGACGGGTGACTGCTGATGGCAAGTGTTCGATAGGACTAGTTGAGAGACAGGCGAAACGAAGGACCTGCATGGTGTGGTAGTGAACGCATTACACCCCGGAAAGGACAATAGCGCGTTCGTTCCCCACCGCAGACACCTGCGGTCCGAACTTTTGCAAATATCTCAGTATTATAGAAAATAAAATCTTGGGTTTCCCAACTTTTGGAGCTGGTGGTGACACGTAAGACAGGACACAGTCAATAAAGGTTTATTTGAATTAATGGTCTTATTAGAGAATTAAATGGTCTTTGTGAAAGTGACACCAATTGCGACAATAGTAAAGGTTACAAAGCTAATGACAAAATGACTGTGTCTGAAATTCGGGTGATCGATCGATAAGTATCCTTGCTTTAAACTCACTTTATGAAGTGATGTGATCAGCTCTAGGTTTATATCTGTAGAAGATAGTGCTGATGATTTACAATGTTAATGAAAATCAAATTTGCTGAGTACATTCGAGTTTTCAGCAAAGTGGTGCTCCTAAAAGTGACAGAAAAAAACTAACAATATGAAAGCGGGTGAACTATGTTTGTGTTGTGTTTCAATCGACCTTGCAGTCTTAAGAATTTCTTTTGGATTGATTTCGCTCCGCTTCACAATTTTTACGCTTTCCCATTCACTGATGTCCAGATCTAGAGTCTTGTATTCGGGATCACGTGCCGATCGAACCTCTTTCATTGGATGCTTTGCTTTCCTAAAGAAAAAGGAAACATTTTGAATTTCCTCCTATGAGCCATGAGGAATGTTCTTTCAGACAGCTAAGCTCCCAAGATTGTCCCTCATTCTAAGCCAAGATGACTGTGTGGAAAGATGACGTTTACTCTGATTGATGACGTGTAAATGTTCAAAAGGAGCACATCCAAGGAAATGTGTCACTAATTTTCCAAGCAGGGAGTTTGAGATACCTAACTGGTTCGGATTGGGGTCACACTATGTTGTGTTTTTAACGCTTTTTTGGCACACCAAGTCTATTGGATACTCTGATACATGAAAAGTACCAATACAAACGTTACTGCTATGTCACCTCTTTTACTTACTCAACAGCAAACGACAGAAATCACAGCTGTGCTCAAATCTTTCTATGGCCCACCATATCCCGAGGTTGGAATCTTGTACAACCAACGATAGAGAGAATTAAATTGATGGAATAAAGGTTAAATGACGTAATTTTTTGGCACAAAGTAAACAAATATACTAACATGACTCTTGGTGGAGGTACTTTTATAAGGAGAGACAACTTCTTCTTCTCTTCTAAAAGGATTGCAAGTTAAACTCCTTATTAAAATTTACCAAGAAATCCTAAATGACATTTGTAAAATAACTCAAATAAAACTGGGTAAAAGAAAAGAACACTTAAGTTCTGGATAGAACTGAGAGTTACACACTAGTTGGCATCTGAAACATATTGTAGAATTATAAGCACTATTTCAGTGCTAAAACGATATATCCCTGTTGTACACCACCACTGGGAAATTGAAAAAAATGTCAAAAAACAAAAGAAATACCCGATCGGAGATTTTAAGAAGCATTTTTTCTCATTTTATTTTATATTAAATATTGACAATCTTAATCTACCTTTTCTAGTTGGTTTCGTTTCACAGGTACCTGATGAGGTAATAGAATTAATACTCGATACTTCATACTTGAACGGCCCGTCCTCATTGGTTTTGCGGGCCCCAATATAATCAACATTTTTCGGAGATTTGCTGGCTAAACCATCATGGTTTCCTGGAATGTCGAGGTCAACCTGGCCAAAGCCTGCCCAGGCCTTCACCACCACCACAGGCACTCGCAGCCCTCGTGGATCAGAAAGAGATTTGTCACCATACGACTTTGACACCAAGACCCGCCCTTCTTAAGCAGCTTTTTATAGTTGCACTTACATCATTTGAGATGAAGGGTAGGATAAGCGGGACCTTTTTGTCGTTAGAGTTGTCGTTTGGTGGCCTGTTTGGGAAGTTGTTTTTACGAATGAAACTCTCAAAGTCCTTAATAACTATCGTGCGAAAAGATACAGCTCAAACCTCACTGAAGTGCAAAAACATGGTATGCAAGAGGTTAAAGAGGCGATAAGGTTGAAAAACATAAGACTATCCGTTAGTGATAAGGGCGGAGGGTTTATCATAATTCCCCATCAGTTAGATGTTGAGATAACGAAAAAGCATCTTGAAGATGCCTCGCTTTATCGCCCAGCATCTGAGAAGGAGTTCAAAAGTAAATACCGAAAATTGAACCACGATTGGGCCAAAATGGCAAGGGCTGCTGGTTTAAAACAATCAGTTATCTCTCAACTTAAAGTTGACTTACCAACATGCCCCGCCTTGTACTTACTTATAAAAACTCATAAGTTAGTATCCAGCGATGATCTTGCGTCTAACGATCCATCACTATTTAAGGTTAGACCTATCATTAGCTGTGTAGACGGGCCAACGGACAGGATAACATGGTTTTTAACCCTAATATTTAACAAGTCGTTAAAACACATTCCAGCCCATCTTACGAATACCCAGATGTTTCTGGATCGTCTGCGTACTGCGCAGCCCAACAGCGCGTGCGTGATGGAGTCCTTCGACGTTACCACCCTTTACACAAACGTGTCGGATGACTCCGCAATGCAAGCCATATTCGAACTCCTTATACAACACGAAAAAGAAATAAACATGTATGGCTTCAAGATAGAGCAGTTGATGGCACTCTTAAAAGAATGCTTGAGCTGTTCAATCTTCAGATAGTCTGGAAAGTACTACGCTCAAATGGAGGGTTGGCAATGAGACAACGACTGGCATTAAGTCTTGCCATTGCGTTTATGTCTAAGGTGGAAACACCGGTGATTGATCTCGGGCCGCTACTCTACTGTAGGTACGTAGACGACTGTTTTGTCCATTGCTCAAAACGAGAGAAAATGGACAAATGTTTCGAGTTGTTAAATGAACAGTTAGAGCACATGAAGTTCAATCTAGAGAAACCGAAAGAAAATTGGCTTTCATTCTTGAACGTCCAAATTAGCCTGTCAGAAAATGGCTACATTACGAAGTGGTACTGAAAGCTAAGTAGTAAAAACATTTTGGTTCAATACCTCTCCTCTCATCCCTCTCACACGGAAAGGGCGCTTGTAAGAAACACATTTCGAACAGCAACCAACGTGTTCAGGGGAAGTGAGCAGAGAGAGGAGTCCTGGAACTTGGAGCGGCAAATAGCCATTTTTAATGGCTACGAAACTGTAGTTCGGGATAGGTGTAGGGAAAATCCTTGGCCCACAAACGACAACTCTAGCGATGAAAAGGTCTCGTTTACCCTGCCCTCCACCTTAGACATAAACGTAATAAACAACTTAAACTGTGCCAATCGTTGTCCCATTGCCAACCCTCCATTTGAGCGTAGTACTTTCCGAACTATCTGAAGATTGAGCAGCTCAGGCATTCTTTTAAGAGTGACATCAACTGCTCTGTGATAAGACCATACATGTTTATTTTTCTTTCGTGTTGTATAAGGAGTTCGAATATGGCTTGCATTGCGGAGTCATCCGACACGTTTGTATAAAGGGTGGTAACGTCGAAGGACTCCATCACGCACGCGCTGTTGGGCTGCGCAGTACGCAGACGATCCAGAAACATCTGGGTATTCGTAAGATGGGCTGGAATGTGTTTTAACGACTTGTTAAATATTAGGGTTAAAAACCATGTTATCCTGTCCGTTGGCCCGTCTACACAGCTAATGATAGGTCTAACCTTAAATAGTGATGGATCGTTAGACGCAAGATCATCGCTGGATACTAACTTATGAGTTTTTATAAGTAAGTACAAGGCGGGGCATGTTGGTAAGTCAACTTTAAGTTGAGAGATAACTGATTGTTTTAAACCAGCAGCCCTTGCCATTTTGGCCCAATCGTGGTTCAATTTTCGGTATTTACTTTTGAACTCCTTCGCAGATGATGGGCGATAAAGTGAAGCATCTTCAAGATACTTTTCGTTATCTCAACATCTAACTGTTGGGGAATTACGATAAACCCTCCGCCCTTATCACTAACGGATAGTCTTATGTTTTCAACCTTATCGGCTCTTTAACCTCTTGCATACCGTTTTTGCACTTCAGTGAGGTTTGAGCTGTATCTTTTCGCGCGATAGTGATTAAGGACTTTGAGAGTTTCATTCGTAAACATCCGAAATATAACATCAACTTCATTATTAAGCTCTTGTTGTTTAAAGAACGGTTAAGGAAATGGTGCTATTGGTAGGGCCCCCAATTTGTTGTTCGCACCAATTTTTGAGGGCTAACCGTGTCAGGAGACATGACTGAGTTGTTGAATGAACAGTCAAAGTATGTCAAGTTCACCCGAATAAAACCGCAAAAAATGGCTCCCATTTTTGGACGTCAGAATGAACCTGTCAGAAAATGGCTACATTACGAAGTGGTACCGAAAGCTAAGTAGTAAAAACATTTTGGTTCAATACCTCTCCTCTCACACGAAGAGGGCGCTTGTAAGAAACACGTCTCGAAGAGCAACCAACGTGTGTACGGGAAGAGAGCAGAGAGAGGAGTCCCGGAACTTGGCGCGGCAAATAGCCATTTCCAATGGCTACGAAACTGTAGCTCAGGATAGGTGTAAGGAAAATCGAAGGCCCCCAAACGACAACTTTAGCGACAGAGGTCCCGTTTATCCTACACTTCATCTCAAATGATGTAAGTGCAGCTATAAAACGCTGCTTAAGAATTGCGGGTTTAGAGAATTCGGTAAACGTAGTTGAAATGCCACTGAGTAATCTTAGGCGCCAGCTAGTTTGTAACCGTCCATATGACCGTCTACGTGCAACGCAAAACTGCATAATTTGCCCCAATGGTAAAGACGGTGATTGCATGAGCTCGGGTATAGTTGATCTGATCTCCTGTAAGGCGTGCGGAGACGAATACATTGGCGAAACGAGCAGACCCCTCTGTGGCCGCATAAAAGAACACCTAGCCGGAAAATATAAACCAAATACCCCGCTAGGCACGCATGGTACCCAGAGACATAACGGGGAGGACTTTGAAGTACGTGTCACGATCCTCGCACAAGAATCGAGAACACAAGCGCGCAAAACTCTTGAGGCGTTCTCGATTAATTCCAGAAATCCAAAAATGAACCGCAGGGAAGAATGCCTCATTATCACACGTGATTTTGGACAGTATATAAGCCTGTTATTCTGATGGGAGGGGCACATTACGCCTCCATGTGAATTCTACGCGGTCGGTCTTCACACGACATACTCAGTGGAAGACTCATAGAAAGCGGTGAGTGTGCAGAACTGTGTTAAATGTGATTGAAATCTTGGTTCAGCGTTTTTTTTTGTTTGGTTATGGAGGTGTTTGGCGGAATAGGTTACTGTCAACTTAACCTTTCCAGGCTCTGAGGGGGCGAAATCTGCCGAAACGTCGGCTTGTACGTAAATAAAGAAATAAAATAGCACCTCGTGTTTGCTGCACAGAAGTGAAAGAATTAATATATTCGGAATGTATATTGTCCGTTATGACTTCATCGGCAAGACAAAAGATAAAGCATCTGATGCTGATCAATCCTGTAGAATAGTCTATGCATTGAGCTGAGGCAACCAACGTAAAGGTGACCAAGGGCACGTTTGCTCAGTAGAATGATCTGTGATGGCCTACCGATCTATTAGGCCACTTATGAAAAATTGTAGCAG